AGAAATTTCTTTTCCCTTTTCATTTGAAAATTCGGAAATTCCTTTAGCCGAAAAATCAGTTGGAAAATCAGTTAGAGAATTATTTTTCTCAATTTGAGTAATCCGGTGATCACAAATCATTTGATTTTGTTTAAGAGACTTAATATCTCTTTTCAAATTTTCAATTTCGATTTTCAAATCATCAAACGAAGTATCTCTGCTTGGCGTATTTGTCTTATGAAGATGTTTATTAACTTCAGACAAAGAATATGGCGCAAAATATTCAAATTCATTTTGTGGTCTTTCAAAAAACTTTGAACCACTAGAACTAGAACTTTCAGTCAAATTTATAATTTTGTATGAATTTTTCATCAGTAATTGCCTTTAAAGGTTATATTAAATTGTCAGATGTAATAGTTTTTATACTCAAATCTTGAAATTGTGATTTCAATTTATTAAACTCATCATCATCGCAAGTGCAAATATTACCTTTACAAGCAGTGCAAGTATTATCCAAATCTTTACTACATTCAGATCAATCTCAGCTTCGGACTCAGTCTCAGAACAAGTATAATCAGAATGTGATCCGGAAGTGTATAACAAGTTATAAACTTTGTCATGTAACACATCGTCTAGTTCTAAGGCCTTTAGCTTTTGAAGCTTGCAATTTGGAGCGATATGCCCAAATTTTCCACACTTATAACACTTAATATCAGCGAGATCTCTCTTTGATCTGTTCTTCGTAAATCGAGTAGATTTGCGATGCGCTTTTCTAGTATCACACTCTTCTTTAGATCTATATCTAGATCTCTTTTTCTTATACGGGCTATCAGGGTTAGGATACCTATGATATCTGTTTTTCTTCTTTTTCTTACTTTGAGTAGAGGTTCCGAGTAAACCGAACTGGGTACAGAAGTCACCTAATTGGGATTTCTCTTTAAGCTTATTAATCTTAAGCTGTCTAGAAAGCTTCAGCTCATTACACAAGTTTAATCCTTCTTGTGTACACACTCCTATAAGTTTACCATAGGTATAATTTCTGTACGGAATTTCCCCGTAACTACCTCTTAACGCTTTTCTTACTCTATTAGCGAATAAGGAGGGAAGGCCGTCTATAAACTTAGCTTTCCAATGTTCATACTTGTTATCGGGTAGCTCCATAACCCTACTCATAAAAGTATCTTTGTACCATCTAAATTCACTAAGGGTCCTACATCTAAGCCCATTTAGTAAAGTACTGACGATCTTATGTTGATTGGTAAATCTACCGTTAAAATGTTCTAGAATTGTAAGGATAAGGGTATAAATAACATCTTCTCTACCTTTAACTAGAGCCATGCCTATATTATCAACCCCTTCGTCAATGGCGGTAGCATTAATAAATGTTGCCTTTTCTTCAACGGATAGATAGTTATTCCACCAGCCACGAAGCTGGCCAGTAAAGCCTGCAATAATCATTTTGCAAATTGTTCTATCTGTGTTCTTAACACTTTTACATATATTTGAGTACATAAGCATTCTATGTACAAGAATAGTTAACTGTCTATCAGTTAAGCTATCAAGATTCCATTCATAAATTTCGGAACCGCTGTAAGACGTACTAGTCTGATTCCAATCGCGTTTCTCTATTAACACATCTTGAGGAGTAGGACGGGAATAATAGTAAGTTTACATCCGGGGTTTGTCGGCATACTTACTGTTGGGTTTAATTAAACCCTTGAGCTTATTAAGCTCTAACCACGTTTCAATTTTGTAATCAGAAATAGTCTCAATTTTATCAGTAAAATTTTTTAATAAATCAATTGGTCTAATATTTAAACCAGAAAGTTTCTTATCAAGAAGGTCTGCTAAGTCATCAAGAGATTTGAATTTAAAATCTTGAACCTCAGGAGGCCTTTGAACATGAGTAAGAACTGTTTGATCAACCGGTTTGATTCCCGAAGTGGAGGCAATATCGGTTGGTCATTTGTTAGTACTCATCCTGGTTTAATTTCCCAACTACTTGGAATTTAAATTCGGTTATATCCCCAAGTTAGATTACTAATGACTTGTCAAATACTGATTGTTCGCATGTTACTCAAAACCCGAATGGTAGGATTTGTATTCAATTTGATGATAAGTCTACTATTTATAATAGACATTCGTTTTCTAGTCATAGACTTTTACCTGCTATTCAACATATTTCTCCTGTCGAGCCAGTATATGGTCCATCTCAAAATCGTGCAGCATCGTTACATACTATCGCTACAAAGGTGAGTAATAAGTCTGTCGAAAGGGTTAAAATTAACCCACAAACAAATATTGTTCAAGACAATGACAATATTTCTGATAAGGATATTCCTTATGTATCTGAAATGGATTTTGACCCCAATGATACTTAATGATTCCACACCAAATTGATTTAGCCAAGGTTCACGGTCAAGAAATTATATTCAAAAAGAATTTTTTAGTGATAAATGGAGCCAGTTAAAAACTTGGTTTTTTGATACTTATAGCAAAGAAGATTTAAACAGTATTTCTCAAGAATTTTACCAAAATTATTCTTTGCATAATCAAATTATGTATTTTGTTCCTTGGTTTATAACAACTTATTTGCCTCTTTATATAAAGGTGTTAGAAAGATCTTATAAAGATGGAAGTGGTAATATTACTAAAGCCATTTACCCTCTTCAAGCCCCCTTTATTTTACCTAATAATACTGGTATTACCTTCACTGCTTTCCAAAAATTTGTTGACGATAATGTTGCAGCTGTTAGTATCGTAGAAATTAATAAATTGATTTCTCAAAACAATTATTTGGGTTTATATGTAAAAATTTTAGGAGTACATATCGGTTTTATTGTTAAAAATTGGATGATTTGACTGCTTTAATAAAGAAGATGAGTACTAACAAAGGACCAACCGATATTGCCTCCACTTCGGGAATCAAACCGGTTGATCAAACAGTTCTTACTCATGTTCAAATGCCTCCTGAGGTTCAAGATTTAAAATTCAAATCTCTTGATGACTTAGCAGACCCTCTTGATAAGAAACTTTCTGGTTTAAATATTAGACCAATTGATTTATCAATTTTTTTTGATGTGACGACCCGTCCAGTCGTCTCATGAGTTACCGCTCTGTTTCCCCCATTTTAGCTTCTTTACTCTTCGTTATCCGTGTTTTATGTGATCGAGTTGGTTAGTTCGAGTTCGGAGAGGATTTGGTAAGAAATGAGACACTTAGTCTTTTTTAAGAAGGCTTAAGTTGGAAAAGTCAACCAGGTGTTGACTTATGTGTTCGAAGGCTCGAAAGTGAGTTCTGATGGTTCCGTTAGCTTCGGGAGGTGATTTTTGACTTAGGAGCACGATCGGAATGGGTTTTGCAGTTGTAGAGAAGAATTAGGCTTGAATTGGCGAAGTTAGTATTTTGGCGAATTCCGGTTGGTAGGTGAGATTTTGATAGGGGGTTGGAATGGAATTCCGAGAGTTGCAGTAGCTTTGTTAGGTGATTTTGGATGTGTGTGCAAAATTTTAGATCATTCGGAGGTGTTTTGGTCGGATGTTTGATCAAATGCGTATTTCGGAAGTTTTTAAGAAATTTAGGCTTGAATATGATGTAATTTGATGTCTTTGGTGTTGTTTGTGGTGTTTTGATGATTGGAACAAGTTTGAATAATGTTTTAGGATGGGATTGAACTTTTGGTTGAGGTCTCGGGGGCCTCGGGGTGATTTCGGATGGTCAATCGGGCCAATCTTGGTTTTTGAAGTTGTAGATTTCAGCTGAGTGTTGCAGAACATTTTGTTCTCTGCGATCGCAGGAGTGCAATTGCGATCGCATAGAAGGTTTGGGGAAGGCCGTTCTGATTGCTCAATGCGATTGCGGAATAGGGTGTGCGATCGCATAGGTTGAGGAGGTTGTTCATTGCGATCGCATGAGGAGTAATGCGATCGCGTAATGTTAAATGGACCTTAGGTTCTGAGGGGTACTTTGCTCAATGCGATCGCGGAGTAGTGTATGCGATCGCGTAGATTTGATTGGTGAAGCAGTGCGATCGCAGTTAAGGGGTCGTGTTCGCATAGGACATTTTGGAGGCCTGGGAAAGTTGAGCTATGCGATCGCAGAGGCTTGGATGCGATCACATAGAGTAAAATCTGGGCTGACAGAAGGGTTTTAATAAACATTTCACCCGCGAACCAAGTCCCATTTCCTCCATTGTTGAGTAACCTTGGGAGCTTTTGACGAGTATTAAAGAGGGTTTTAACTGGGAATTGATTGGAGGTGAGTCCTATGACCTAGAAACATCATTTAATTGTAGATTCAACATCTAAATTCATGGAAATTTGATTAAAAGGGAAGGATTAGGGCTTGACTTTTAAAATAGAAATTTGGGGGTTTGAGAGAGCATTTGAGCTCGGATTCCAGTAAATTTGATATGTATAGACTCGTGGCGAGATAAGGAATCCGGTGATGTCAGTTTTCTGATTTTTCGAGAAGTGGGCCCGGGGCTCGGGTTTTGCCAACTTCGTGGTTTTCAATATATTTTGAGTCTTTTCGATTGGATTGTATTCCTTTAGTCTATTGTAATGTATTACTTGTGGTTTTGATCAGATTCGACGCTCGAGGAGGTTGATTTGCGAGGCAAGGGAGTAGCAAGCTAGAATTTCGGCCTGCTTGAGGTGAGTAATGGTTGTAAATGATGTCCTGAGGGTTTGAAACCCCGAATTGCACATCGTAGTGCTATATTGAGGCAAGATACGTGTTGGATGATGAGCGTGGGGTCTTTCACTACTGGGGATTGTGACTTGGTCCATCCCGATTGATGATTTTACCGAATATTTAACAGAAATTCAATTGTTATCATCATGATTTGGGTTGATTCCCATATTTGGGCTTCGTGCCAACTATTTGAACCCTTCGGGGATTTTTATCACTATTTCCTCACTACTTGACTTATTATTTGAACTCAGTCCTATTGATATCTACTATTTTACAAACTCAGCCACTTTTACTCAGATTTGAAACTTAAATGATATTTCTACATCATGTTTTGGGCTGAGAACTACTGTTTTACTAATGCCCAAGGGGCTTGTGATTATTTTTGGACTGAGTGAAGCCGACGGCCATATGTGAGGATATGCTGAGTGATATGAGGCCGAGGGCCTGAGATACGTTATATGCCACGAGGTGGCTTGAGTGATGTGAGGCTGAGTGTCGAGTGATGATGCCACGAGGTGGCTTGATATAGCGCTTGGGCCGTAAGGGGCCCCTCCGGAGTCTGCACACCGATAGTGAGCGCGGGTACCCATTGTTCTGAGTGATTGATGCTCTGCCCGAGCGGCTGATATGAGTGATTGTGATGTAGCCCGAGGGGCTGATACTATTTTGAGAGTGAGCCCGAGGGGCTGACACTATTCTGAGTGATTGATACTGAGCCCGAGGGGCTGATACTGTACTGAGAGTGAGCCGAGGGGCTGATACTATGCTGAGCGATTGATACTATGCCCGAGGGGCGAATTATTACTTATTATTTACCTGTTAAATAACCGGTTTTACTTGTTTTAACAGGAATATCATTTGGTTTCTTCACTGATTTACTGCTTTAAGTGATTTTTACTGCTTGATATGGAATTGCTTTATGCCTTTACGTGTTTTCATACTTTCAGCCATTATTTATAGTTATTACTCACTGAGTCGGAGTACTCACATTACTCCCTGCACCGTGTGTGCAGATTCAGGAATAGCAGAGTCTGCACCTGAGCTCTGATTCTGTCCAGGCTAGGCGGTGAATTGGAGTTCCGAGGTAGCTGTTGACGTCCGCCGCCCCTTGTCTCCCTTATCCTATATCATTTATGTTTTCTTCAGACTGTTGTATTGGATTTCGTACTTTGTAGACCTATAGCAGATTTTATAGTAGCTCATGACTTGTGAAACCCCGGTTTGGGTTGTGTCAGGATGGTTCTTGCGGTTATTATCGTTAAATTCCGCAATTTATGAGTATTACATTATATGTTATTACTGTTTATGATGATTAACTGTAAAAAAGAGGTCTTCCTCTTTGGTCTGGCTGGCCTTGTCTTCACGAGAGATGCCATCACGACAGGGTTCGGGGGTTGGGTCGTGACAAGTTGGTATCAGAGCCTAGGTTACTTAGGTCTCACGAGTCATGAGCAGGTTTAGTAGAGTCTCGTGGATCGGTACGGAGACGTCTATATTTATCCTCGAGAGACTGCAGAACCTTTAGGAAAAACTTCATATTCTTGAAACTCTTGTCGTGTGAACTTGTTGGTTCGAGTACTAAACTTCTGATATTTCATTCTCTCATAGATGGTGAGGACGCGAGCTACAGAACGTGGTGGATGACCACTAATGCCACCCACTGAGGCCACCAGAGGCTGTGGACGCGGTCTTGGACGTGGCAGAGGCAGAGCAGTGAGGGCAACACCTGTTGACCCACCAGTTGTGCCCATCGTGGTTCCGGGTCTTCAAGATTCCTTGGCACAGATCTTATCAGTTTGCACTGGCTTGGCTCAGGCAGATTCAGCCACTACAGCAGCAACTACTTCACAGGTCGGGGGAGGCAATCAGACCCCCGCTGCTCGCACACCTGAGCAGGTAGTGCAGGGACTACAGACACCGGGGGCACCTCCAGCTCAGCCGGTTGCACCAGCTCAGGAGTTTGTTGTGCCAGTTATGCCAGATGATAAGCAGCGTCATCTTGAGAGGTTTGGTAGACTCCAACCTCCATCATTCAGTAGTGTCGAGGTCGAGAATGCCCAAGGTTTTCTTGATAAGTGTCAGCGGATGCTCCGTACAACAGGGATTCTTGAGACTAGTGGTGTGACATTTACCACCATTCAGTTTACTAGGGGTGCCTTCACATGGTGGGAGGCGTATGAAAGGCGTAGGCCGGTTGGAGCAGCACCCCTTACTTGGCAGCAGTTCTCCACTCTCTTCTTGGAGAATTATGTGTCGCAGTCCCGCAAAGAGGAGCTGCGTAGACATTTCGAGTGGTTGCGACAGGGGGAGTCGAGGTTTTCTGAGTTGGCTCGTCATGCCATTTGGATGGTTCCGACAGATCATGAGAGGATCAGGAGATTTGTTGATGGCCTTAACTATCACCTCCGCATTCTTATGACCCGATAGAGGGTGTTGGGTTCTACGTTTGAGGAGGTGGTTGATATCGCTCGTGAGATTGAGACGGTTCACCATCAGGATCGAGAGGAGAGGGAGGCCAATAGGCCTCGAGGATCTGGCAGTTATAGTGGTGCTTCTTCTAGGGGCCAGTCTCAGCATGGTAGGGGCCGTTCTTTTAGGCATACTCAGTCAACCCGCCCAGAGTATCGCAGGGCATCTTCAGGTCATGGTCATCATGGATCTCAGCGGGGCTAGTCATCACTCAGTGCCCTTCCAGCCCAGAGTTTATCTCGTGCTCCGTTAGCTCAGGGTTCTTCTATGCCTAGTGCATTATTTGGTCACTCCGGTGCAAGGGGTTCCCTTCGGTCCCCTTCTCCAGCACCTGGGAGTTGTTTTGAGTGTGGAGAGTTTGGACATGTGTGGAGGCAGTGTCCTCGTCGTGTTTCTAGTTCGTCCCAGTAGAGGGGTCAACCCTTGACTTCTACTCGAGTTACTTCACCACTCACCCAGCCAGCTAGGCCCAACGTAGAATTGTTTCTGGGGGGAGATCGATCAGGGGGCGGTTAGGCCCATTTCTATGCACTCCCGGGCAGACCCGACGCCATTGCTTCGGATGCTGTCATTATAGGTATTGTTTCAGTCTGCCACAGAGATTCCTTTGTATTATTTGATCCCTGTTCCACCTTTTCTTACGTGTCATCATACTTTGCTCATTATTTGGGTACGCCCCGTAAGTTTCTTGCTGTACATGTTCATGTATCTACCCCAGTGGGTGATACTGTTGTTGTAGACCGTGTTTACCAATCATGTATGGTGACTATTGGGGATCTGGAGACCCGAGTGGATCTATTTATATTGAGCATGGTGGATTTTGATGTAATTTTGGGCATGGATTGGCTATCTCCATGTCATGCTATTCTAGACTGTCATGCTAAGACAGTCACTTTGGCTATGCCGGGTGTACCGCAGATTGAGTGGCGTGGTGTGACTGATTATTTTCCTAGTAGAGTGATATCCTTCTTGAAGGACCAATGTATGGTTGGGAAGGATTGTCTTTCATATCTAGCATTTGTGAGGGATGTTGGAGCTGAGACTCCTAGTATTGTTTATGTTCCAGTTGTGAGGGATTTTCCCGAAGTTTTTCCTGCAGACCTACCGGGCATGCCACCGGACAGAGATATTGATTTTGGGATTGACCTAGCGCTGGGCACTCAGCCCATTTCTATTTCGCCGTATCGTATGGCACCAGCAGAGTTGAAGGAATTAAAAGAACAGCTTTAGGAAATCCTAGATAAGGGGTTTATCCGGCCTAGTGTGTCCCCTTGGGGTGCACCGGTTTTATTTGTGAAGAAGAAGGATGGGACGATGAGAATGTGCATTAATTATAGGCCATTAAACAAAGTAACAATTAAGAACAAGTATCCTTTGCCTCACATTGATGATTTATTAGATCAGCTTTAGGGAGCGAGGGTATTCTCCAAGATTGATCTCCGTTCGAGTTATCACTAGTTGAAGATAAGGGATTCAAATATTCTTAAGACTGTTTTCAGGACCAAATATGGTCATTATGAGTTTCTTATTATGTCTTTCGGGCTAACCAATGCCCCAGTAGCATTCATGCATTTGATGAACAGCGTGTTCCGACCTTATCTTGCTTCATTCGTGATAGTATTCATTGATGATATCCTAGTGTACTCGCGTAGTCAGGAGGAGCACGCACAGCATTTGAGAGTTGTGTTGTAGAGATTGAGCGAGGAGAAGCTTTATGCAAAGTTCTCCATGTGTGAGTTTTGGCTCAGTACAGTGGCTTTCTAGGGACACGTGGTGTCCAGCGAGGGTATTCAGGTTGACCCAAAGAAGATAGAGGCGGTTTAGAGTTGGCCTAGACCTTCCTCAGCCACAGAGATTCGTAGATTTCTTGGGTTGGCAGGCTATTATCGCCGGTTTGTTCAGGGATTTTCATCCATTGCATCGCCCTTGACCAAGTTGACTCAGAAGGGTGCTCCATTTGTATGGTCGGACGAGTGTGAGGAGAGCTTTCAGAAGCTCAA